ACACGCCTTCCTTTCTTTCCCAAATGTAGGATCAGGTGGAACAGAGGGTGGAGCAGAAGGTGGAGGAGAGGGTGCAAGCTATGCGGAGTGAAATGGAAGTCAAGATGGAGGCTCAATTGGCCGAAGAAAGGAGAAACCAAGAGAGGTATGAAGAGATGATGCGTCGATTCTCCAGCAACGACCCATGTTCCAACATTCCACATCAGCGTCGAGACCCCATGAATGACCCGGGTAGTGGCGGTGCAGGGCAAGGTACACCGGTTGTAGCTTAGAATTTGTGTATATAGTATGTACATGTATTTAGATTTAGATTATGTTGTATAGTTGCACACAATGTATACATTATTATAAATAAATATATAAAAACATTGCCGTAATCAAATCATAAATTCAAATTTATCTTAAATTAGGTGCAGGATATATAGGAGACGAAATCCAAATTAAATCATTTAATTTGCTAAATAAACAGGGCTAATTCTGACGGAAAAATCTGTCGAAAGCTCTTACTTTCCGACGGAATTTTTCGTCGGAATCTTCTCCTCTTTCGACGGAATTTTTCGTCGGAATATCCCCCTTCCGACAGAATTTTTTCGTCGGAATCTCCCCCATTCCGACGGAATGAACATGTTACGACGGAATTTTCCGTCAAAATGGAGGAGATTCTGACGAAAAATTCCGTCGGAAGGGGGGGCTTTTCCGACGGAAACGTTTTCGTCGGAAAATTGCGACGGACTCCCGTTTAAAGTCAAATCCAGTTCCGACAAAATGGATTCCGTCGGAAAATCCGTCGGAAAAGGCCTTCCGACGGAATTTCCCACGGAAAAAGTCCAATTTCCTACGAAGGGTTTTGAGACAGACTTATTCCGAAGGAATTCCGTCGGAAGGCCGTATCCCGACAGATTTTTCGATGTTTCCGATGGAAAAATTTCGTCGAAATCCAGTTGTTTTCTTGTAGTGAGATACGTCACCTTTTTCCACATGATCCCTTATAAAATGATGTCGCACATCAATATGTTTAGTACGAGAGTGTTGAACATGATTCTTTGTGATTGAGATAGCACTTGTATTATCACACTTAATTGGAATTCCTGTAAATTTCAAGCCAAGATCTCGAAGTTGTTGAGATATCCACAGAATTTGTGAACAACATGCACCTGCTACAATGTATTCTGCTTTGGCAGTAGACAATGCCACCGAATTTTGCTTTTTAGAATGCCAACGAATAAGGGATGAACCCAAAAATTAGCAGCAGCCAGAAGTACTTTTTCTATCTACTTTATAACCTGCAAAATCTGCATCAGAATATCCAACAAGCTCAAAGTTGCTATTTTTAGGATACCAAAGACCAAAGTCCTTAGTACCATTTAAATAACGTAGAATCCTTTTTACTGCACTAAGATGAGATTCTTTGGGGTTAGCTTGAAATCGTGCTCACATACAAAAAAATTTGATAATAACTGAAAATCTTAAACTTCGAAACTGTACATATCATACATGAGTCTTACAAGTTGAATATCGTCTTTTAATTTAATACATTTGGATATATAAAAGGTACATGCATGAAGTACCATCTTTGTTGTATGGTTGTATCCCTTCTACTCTTTTGATTGATGTTTGTGTGTTTTTCTTAATATATATCGATCATTTTTTCAATATATACATCATCGTCATCAACTTTTTTATTTCATTGTCCTGTGTAATAAGAAATCAAATTTATTTTAAAATAGATGTTAGTAACAATAAATACACACTATAAACAAAACAAGATAATTAAATTAACGTTTACAAATAATCAAAAACACTATAAACATAATAGGATAATTAGATGACCATTAACAAATACAAATTTGAACACATTGCTAGATAATGAAAATAATTCAATGTGACATCAATGAACATGTATTAAAATCAATTAGGAAATTCTCAATGGTAACCCCCAACTTGTGTAACACTGAAATGGTAACCCTCCTTTCTTTTATTATACAAAATGACCTTACTTAAGAATTTTATCCTAGTTATGACATTAATGAGTTTTGATTAAAAAATTAAACCACAGTTAGATTTTTTTTTAAAGAAAGAAAAACTAAATAAAAAAACACAGCCACCCTCACCCTCTCCCTACCGCAACCACCACCTTCACCTTCACCTAGTCGTCACCACTAGCCAGACCCACGACCCTCCCTCTCTCTCTTTACGATCGTTTGACCCACGCTAGGGTTTCCTCTGAGTTGTGGTGGTCAAAGAAGGAAAGGTCAGCAAAGGAGAGGTCGGGATTTGGGATTCGAATCAAGGCAAAGGAGAGGGAAGAGGAGAAAGAGAGGGAGGGTGGAATCACGGTGGTCGTCGGTGTCAGGGTGTTAAGCTCTGAGTAACCAAACCTGATTATGCACAGCGAAATGGAGGTTTGGAAAACTATTCCAGAAAGCTAGCCAAGAGAAATAAGGGCAACTTGTTGGTAATAATTGTATAGATGATGTAATATAGAGATTTTAAGGGAAGAAGATAATATAGAGAATATGAGATGATTTCATTCATTCAACATAATTGATGCATTACTAGGACTTGGCTTAAATAGCCTTGAAAATCAGCTGACTAGCTTAGCACACAAACAAACAAAATGACATAATAATTTAAAAGGACAACTAGCTAAATGACAAATTACAGTATTTCATTCTAGCTAATATTCCCTGCATCATTCTTCTCCTCTCTTTCCGTGAAGCTTCCTTGTACAACTGTCATTCCTTCATTCCTTGTTGTCTTTTCTTCCGCATTCTCCAGCTCAGAAATTCCCACCTCACATTCTTCTATGCTGACTTCTTCCAGCTCAGCTTCTATGCTAGCAATTGTATCATAAGGTTCCAAGAGCGCGATGGTCGAGGTTAGAGGATCTGGGCATGCGGTGTTCGAGGTCGGGAAGTTCTGGGCGCGCGGTGTGGGTACGGTTAAGGTAAAGGTGGAGGTTGTGGAGCAATTAGGCATGCGGTGGTCAGTGGTCAGGTCTGGTGGTGGTTCGGTGAGGGTGGAGGTTGTGGAGGTGCTAGTGGGTTTGGCGGTCGTGGTGTTTTTTTTTTTTTTTTTTTTTAATTTTTAATTTTTAATTTTAGTTTTTCAAGCTAACCATAGTTAATATTAACAAACCATTTATTAAAATAAGGTTAATTGTGGGAATAAATTTTTAATGAAGGTCAATTTGTATAAAAAAAAAAAAAAAAAGAGAGAGAGTTACCATTTCAGTGTTACACAAGTTGGGGGTTACCATGCATTGAGAATTTCCCAAATCAAAATGAACATTTTTCAACATGTAATTAACAAGTATTAAAAGTCAACGAATATCTTTTAATATGAGAATGAACTACAAATATTAAAATTTAATTGAACATTTTTCAATATGATACTAAACAAGTTTTAAATTTCAAACAAATATCTTTTTCAATATGAACATGTTTAGATATGTGAATGAATGTTTTATTAGATATTGCAAATGAACATCTTTCAATTGAGAATGAACATATAATGTAAAGAGAATGAACATGAATCTAATTTAATCGAACATATTAATATCAAAATGGTTGTAAATGAACATGAATTCTATTTAAATTGAACATTTACAATATATTAAATTTTATAGCCAAAATTCGTCAATTATATTTTTTAGTAACAAAATAAGTAATGTTAATTGATAGTGATACTTCAATTATTCCACAAATTAAATTGACAATTTGTCTGTGATTTTAAATATTATAATTTGAATATTAATCATTCTACAACTGAACATTTACAATAAATTAAAATTTTCAACCAACCAATATTCACCAAATAACAGTTTTAATTGAATTAATTTATAATTATTGAAAATTTATAAAACTGTAGACACTTGATTGTGTCTCCCCAAAAACCAAACCCAGTGCTGAGTATCTTTCATGTCTTTGATTAACGAGTTCGGTAAAGAGTTGAAGAGTCCCGTGAAGTTACCTTAAGCCTTGACCATACCCCTAACTTTTCCTAAATTGTTTTAAAATCAATCATTTCGTGCCTTTAAACCCAAAATAATTCATTGTCCTTAAAATCATTCATTTCGTGTCTAATTCATAAAAAACGTTCAAACCAGATTATTTTGGTCCATAATCCTGGTCCAATTATTGTTTAGTTGGATGAGACTTATAAGCCCAAATCCGACTTATAACGAATAAGTTATGGCCAAAATACTAAATCAAGCCCAAACCGAGCCTAAGTCCACCTTACCTACGACCCAATGATCATGTGAGGGTCCAAATACCTTATTCCTAAACCTAAACCATTAGGATTCCTTGGGAGCATCTATAATCCTCTAGAAAGATAAAGATCAAAAGAGTTCGAGATTGAATAAAACTTGTACCCATAAAAAACCAAACTCCGAATAAAATAGATTATCCTTTTGAAATCATCACGCCACGACAGCAATATCACACCGCGATAGAACCAAAGCGGCGAGATAATACTCCAACGCACCGCGATGGTTAACTCACCGCGATGGTCCCAAGGCGTCGCGATGGACACTGTCGTGCCGTGATAGGTCTATCGCCCCGCGATGAAACCTGTTTTATTGCGATTAAAATTCTGATCGTCTAGCACTAGGTGAAAATTGCTAATCAGCACTGGTTCAAAACCCCCATTAGGCACCGGTTTTAAACTGGTTCTGATTTGAGGGATGCCAAATCCCAAGACTTTTCACACCGATTCAAAACCGGTGCGAAAACTTATTTTTCGCACCGGTTCCTAATGTGAACCGGTGCAAAAAGTCTCCAAAAATATTAAAAAAAAAACTTTTAGCACTGGTTCTTGCTTTGAACCGGTGCGAAAAGTGGCCAAAAAAAATTTAAAAAAAACTTTTAGCACCGGTTCTTTTCCGAAACCGGTGCCAAAAATGCCCAAACTAAATTAAAAAAAAAAAAGTTGTTTTTTTTTATTTTTTTTCACTTAAATTGTACCAAATACTTTTACATAATCATAATATTCATAAAACACATATTTTCTTCAATAACTTGTAATATTACACTTTAAAATACTTAAAAAAAAACACTACAAAATCAAGGTCTAGAGAAATGAATTTTTGAAGACCATGACCACTTTGAATAGGATGTGAAGCAGAGCTAAATGGCAGACCTTGAGCAGGCCTCGTCAATTGGTTCCCTGGAGATGGGAAATATTGTTGCTGCATGTTCTGGTTAGGTGGTAAAGGTCCTCTATAACCAAGATTTTGTGATGCTGTAGGCATCCCAGAACCCAGTGAACTAGGCACAGGAGATGCTTGAGGTGTAGCATATCGATGGCCCTTAACGCTGTCTACATAGGCAAAGGGTTCTAGCTCAGCAATCTCTTCAGGAGTAAGCTTCACAGATAAGGCTCCAATGTTCTGGTTGAGGTTATCAATCTTAGTGGTTCCAGGGATGGAACACACATCAGCTCCCTGGTGATGGACCTATGCAAGCGCTAGTTGTGCTGTGGTGCATCTTTTTCGGGCTGCTATATTTCACTGACCCGCTCAAACATGGTTTATTGTGCTCAATATTCTCTGATTGGAACCTTGACAAGTTTTGAAAGCCAATAAGAGTAACATGTAGCTAGAGATTAATATTGAAACAAGCAAGGTAAAATTAGATCCTTCTACATGGCGCTTGACATATACTGTAAATTAGATCTTTTTATCTTCCATGCATTTTACAGTTACACTGAAGATGATTTTTACTCAACTCTATCAGCTATATACATCACTAATTAAATAGTGCAATTAGGAAATTAACAGCTGACGTTGATTAGAATCGGGGACACAGAGGATAATGACTAGAGTCGGTAAGCAATATCAACCGAAAAAGGCTAGATTTCATAAAGGGGAATAGACTATGAAACTAAGTACAAAGGTATCATTCTGCAAAGACTAAAAAAATCTTAATTTACAGTATATGTCAAGCGCCATGTAGAAGGATCCAAGAACATAAAAAATTTACAAGATTCTGGTGAAATGGGGGGAAAAAGTCAATTAATTTATCAATATTATCATCCGTGTTAAACACCTTCATTTAAACCCAGCTAACTGTTGAAACTTTCTCTATTGAATACAGGTATACAATCATATGGTTTTTTTTTCTGTGATATTAACATTACACAAGTGAAGCAAACAACTTAAATTAGACCAGGATAGATCTTTACCTGGATATCAAACCTTTGCTTTGTTGAATCCAGTTATATTGTCCTATAATGTGATTCTTGATCATCATCTTCCCTTGGATGGAAACTAATCATTAAACTACAGTTCTTGGCTGTTGCAGCTATCAAGTAGTCCCTTATAATCTTCAGACTTTCATCTACAGGGATTGAATGCAGAGAGTTATACTTTCCTAATTGCCTTTCTTCACCGGAATCTTTACATATCTTGCAAGGCTGGGAAACAATATCATAATAAGCATGAATTGCCCCTTCCACATCAAATTTGTCAAGCTTTTGGACTTCAAGTAGCCTGTTGTCTATCTGCATTCATTAGGTTAAGCATAAAATGTATGCAACTCACCAAAACATCAAACATCATAATTCATTAGGTTATAGTCCACCACCTCCAACAAGAATCTCCTACCTTTATCTTAGCACGCTCTTTTTCTCTAACTTGTTTCTTGTACCGTTCCCGGTTATAGTCCATGATTTTGCAAACAGGAGGCTTTGCTAATCGGTCAACTTGTGAACTCACAAACATATCAGACCTTTATAACACCAGCAATATCAGAATATTGAAAATGAACCAACCAAGTTGATAAAAATAGAATAAAATAAAATGAAAAAATTACTAAACTTCCCAAATAAAAATAAATAAATAAACATATTTATAAAACCCCATTAAGGTCTATAATGATTAATAATTAATGATTAAATCTCAGTAAGACTAATCAAGGTCTTCGATCGGAAAAAAAAGGTGGTGGTGAGAACTAGGAGATTGCGGACAAGTGAAGATTGGAACTTTCAATGCTCTTCCAGCATCATCGTGGGGAACAATGACATTTAATGCTGATTTTCCATGATACTAGAAGGCATAGTGACTTAAGAATGCAAACATACAGAACTGGCTAGAAATTGTCAAATAAGGAGATGGATGGCTTAGATAGGAACTCGAGGAAGCTTTTCGTCAAAGAGATGTGCACACTGTTCAGTAAGCAATGATTATTTCCGCTAACAACGAAAGATGTATTGTGGTTGTAACTCTTGCAAGGATGATACTTAAGCTCTTTTCTATTTGGTTGAGCAGAGTGAGAATGAGGGTGGAGGTGGGGGGAGAAATTGAATGGTAAGTAATCATCAGCAGGGGTAATTGAATGGTAAGTAATCAGCAGGCAATGCAAGGTATACGGAAGCTTGGAGACAAACAATCAAAGGCCGGGTACGTCGTTATCCACAAATTAATTTACTAATTTTCCACCAATTAGATTGTTCGAAAACTTACACCCGGAGACAAGTTGCAAAATAATTGGCCATTAAACCAACATCTTATAAATTATCAAGGGTCATGGGGGGTAGAGTGCTTCTCGTATGGAAGGTGTGCATTAGTGTGACTACAAAGTGTTTGGGTACCTTTGCTTTGAGGTCAAGCAAGAGAAACACATATGAGAATAGAGAAGAAAAGAAGAATGACATTGATAAGCTTTACCTATGGTCTAAACATGTATAAAGATACAAAAACTCTAAGTCAATCTTAGACTACAGTTTAACCATAAAATTGAAGTGAGCTAAGCTTTAATAGCTGTAACCACCAAACAAGCATAGAGACAGCCACCAGACCATGCAGTTCTAAATTCTGGCCAACAAAATTCTAGATCTTCAATCACCTTAGTATTAAGCAAGAACAACAAGGGCTAGATACTTCAAGGGAATTAATTTATCACTTATAGTCCTACAAGGCTGCAAGGTGCCGAGGATGGATCATCACATGTTAACACGGTACCAGAACATCAAATGTATGCAACTCACCAGAACATCAAACATCATAATTCAATTGATTCAAACCACAAATAAAACTAACAACCCAACAACCACGAAAACACCACCGCAACCACCACACCCACCACCGCCCCCATGAAACCATCACCGCAACCCCTATCCATCTCCAATTCCCCCAAAATTCCACAAACAGGCTTGAGAAATCAGGAAACCCTTAATTTCTTCCAATTAACCTCAATTGGCAAAAATCACTCAAACATAGAACAAATTCACGAGTAAATCCATAAAAAATCAATCCAATAACACAGCCAGATTCGACAACCCTAAAACAACAACAACAAAATCAACCAACAATTCATCAATCGCAACGAAGATCAAAATTAAGAACAACAAAAAAAAAAAAAACAAATTCCAAACCAAAAGGAAGCGAAATTGAAGCAAACCAAGAGCAGCATGTTGTTCAAGGCCGATTTCTTCAGTAGAAACCATAGTTTGACAAGCGCCGATTTCTTCATGAACAACATCACCAAATTTAGGCCAAGAACAACGTTCAATCTAGGTCTTCATCTTCGTCTACTTCCCGATTCCTTTGTTGATTAGGGTTTGTTTGAGGAGAGAGAGGAAGATAAGAGAGGAGGAGAGATCGAGGAAAGAGAAATTAAGAAAGAAGACAGAAAGAGAAATAATTGGCCGGTGTTTTTTTTATAATTATTTTACAATAGATTTCGCACCGGTTCGAACCGAACCGGTGCGATTAACTCGTTTTTCGCACCGGTTTTGTTAGAACCGATGCGAAAAGTCTTCCCCTCAATCCCGCCTACTTTTTTTCGCACTGGTTTTTAAAAACCGGGGCGCATTTTGCGATGCCTATTTCATTTTTTCTACTAGTGTAAAATCTTATTTTTCCTTATAAATAGAGGTCGTTTTCCCCATTTTGAAATCATCTAGAACCATCAATCATAAGATATAACTACCTAGCTCCAATCATCATCAATCCTTCTCAATCCTCCATGCTCTTCTCCTAAACACATCCTTGATACATTTAAATCAGTCACAATACCTCATCGAGATTTGAATACTCCAAGCCATCCTCAACGTTGCCTTCGACCTCGACGTGAAAGGTTGATAGTTTTGAGGGTTTGGTTCCAAATCTATATTTTAATTTATATTTGATTTATTTACTTTATTGATTTAACTTTCTTGAAGTTTGCTAACGTGTGTGTTGTTTTAATAGCAAGAAGGTTGAGGCATCAAAGTAAGTAATTTGATTACTTAATTATTCTTTTGATTTTGGAGTAGAAATCATGTTACAATGTTATTATAATTTATAGTATCATGTTTATGATGTTAATTATGATTTCTAGTATCATGTTTAGGATAACGCTTTGATTTTGTTATAAGTGACATGCTAGGAGTTATTATTAATCCGTTTAGTATCATGCTTAGGATCTTACTATTGACGATATTTTGATGATGTTCTTATGATGATGATTGTTGTATTAATCATATGTTGCTTGATTATTTACGATTTATTGTTATTGCTTGATCACGCCCCTTTTTGCAAGTTTAAAGGTAATTTGTACTTGAAATCACGCCTAATAAGATAATTAATAATTTGATTTTAGGCTAATATGATTTTAATTCAAGTGATCACCAGGGCCAATATTAGATTTGATTGTGCATTGATAATCAACCAATGTAGATTAAACAGGTTTAGGATTAACTTGATGTATGTATGTTGATCGAAAAGCGTACATGAATATCATAGGAATTAAGTAGAGGCCTATTTAGGGCGAGTTCAATATCTTTTAGGTTGGATTCCTACCATCATCCCCGAACATCCAGTCATGGTTCCAGACCACTATGGAGTTAGCGATCTATGTGATCGTAAATGGGGTGTAACCTTCACACCCACGAACAGTTTACAAGTTCCTTTTATCTCTAGCTTCTTTTCCTTGGAACGCAGCCATGCCTAAAAGCATGAACCACAGTAGGGCTCAAAGAGGAGTTTGGAAGGAGGGGGTGTAAGTAATAGCATTGGCATAATGGGTCGTGCCTGGGTCTAGTAATTTGGAACATAGGCACGACATGGCCATGACCCATTTTATGGCTCGTAGAAGCACGAAACGACCAATGGGCTAGCTCACTAGGCTCGGCCCGTAGGCCTGTTCATCACCATTATACAACAAAATATCTTTATACAACTATTAAAATCATTAAACAAATTATTAATTAAGCATAACGAGAATAACAAAATAAGTTTTATGACCAACCATCATTCATTCCATATATAGCCATAGCCCATATCATAACTTAATTACAAAGTGCAAAAAAAAATTGAATTTATTAAGGAAAGCTTGTAGGCCCCATGCATGGGCTTTATCATGGACAAGCATGTGGAACCGGCCCAACACTCCCAAAGACTCATGGCCTTGGGTCGTTCCTAGGACATTTTTTGCAATTTCAAGCCCAATCCAGCATGAGCGACTAATAGGGTCGGGCTGCGCTTGGGCCGGATAAGGTTTTAGGCCTGTAGGCTAAGCCCACTGCCAAAGACATCTTTACATATGGTAAATGGACTAGACAATTGTGAATTTGCTCAATAAGGCAATAACCCTTCAATATAATCATACTCACCTAAAATTTTGGACGTTTTAGGATACTAAGCTTCCCGAAGAAAATAATTACAAATTTGGTTGCGTGGCAAAAGTATTTACAAAAATAAGCTTCTGGGGTAAACCGCTGCCTCGGGCAGCGTTTTACCCTCTATTTTTTTAAAAAAAAAAATTCTGCTACAAAAACGCTGCCCCAGGCAGCGTTTTTATAGTTTGACTTTTTTTTTTCCTCGTTTATTTTTTTTAAATTAATTAAAAAAAAAGCAACAGCATAAAACGCTGCCCCAGGCAGCGTCTTATGCTTGAACATAAGACGCTGCCTGGGGCAGCGTCTTATCTTGTTAATGAAACGCTGCCCCAGGCAGCGTTTCTGTCTGGTTGTAAAACCAGAAACTCGAGCTTCGTTTTCAATCACGTTTGCTCTTCATTCCTTCGCCTCCTTCGCAATCCTCTTCCTTTCCTTCCCAAATTTCCTCTTCAATCCTCTTCAACCCAATTTCGTATTACATCCAATTCAAGGTATGGTTAAATATTAGTTGAGTATTTACAAATTGTTCGTTATGTTTGTTGAATTCTTGAATTGTTGGTTAGTGTTGTTGAATTATTGAATTGTTGGATATTGTTGTTGAATTGTTGGTTAGTGTTGTTGAATTCATGAATTGTTGGTTAGTGTTGTTGAATTGTTGGTTAGTGTTGTTGAATTATTGGTTATTGTTGAATTTCTTGAATTGTTGAATTTCTAGGGTTTTAGTGTAATGTGTTTTGGTTGTTGTGTAGAATATGGTCGCACAGAATGTAGTTTTGTTGTGCCGGTGGGGAGGTGAATTTTTGTTTGACGGACCTCGTGTCGAGTATAATGGTGGAAATATGGAACCACTGACACTTGAACCGAACATGACCTTCAGTGATTTCATGAACGAGGTTCATAGTAGCGTTAGTTCAAACCCGGGAAGTGTTGAACTAAACATTAAAATGAGGTTTGAGACCGGGAATGGGGTTCAAGTGTTACCTGTGTCCTCGAATAAGCATTTGAAAGCTTTAAGGAGCGTTGTAGCGTTGAAGGGTGTTCCCACCGAGATTTATGTGGAGATGGTGCCTATTTGTACCCAACAAAGTACCAGGGCAGAACCACATTCTACATTTATTTCCGGTAACAACACACAGCCGCAAGTGCCCTCACACGACACTCCCCCGGCTGAATATGGGATGGGATCTTTTAGTCGAATGTTGAACGACGATCAATTTCACATGCCGTTCAGCTCTCACATAGCTTCACCTGTACATGGGGCGACGTATACAACAATGGCCGGGCAACCTGGGTCTTCGACATCAAACATCGTCACTTCTTCACCGATGCACCTGCATAGGAATACGCCTGTGCAAAATGATGTTCGAGCTTCGCCGACTGAACTAGTTGCGGTTCATCTTGACACAGTTGTGAATAACGAATTTTCTGTGTATGATGTGTACACAAATGATGAGGCCGAGAGCGGAGAGGAGGCAGACGTACTTCGGAACATGGATGTTGAACTCGGAGACATGGAAGTTGGTGAGCCCTTGGTCAGAACTCCCGTACCTTGGTTCAATGAGATAAATGAGGACTATGAAGTTGATCCGTATTGGACTGATGCAGGCAGTCGTCCATCTTTTGCTCCCGGTGGAGAATTTGAGAAGGGCATGTTCTTTGAAAGTAAGAAAATGCTCCTAGAAATGGTGAAGCTGTATTCCATACAAAAGAATCAACTGTACACTACGGTGACATCGAATGAGAGTGTCCTATATTTGCGGTGCAAGAAGAAATGTGGTTGGATGCTACGAGGTACCAAGTCAAGTGCGGACTCTCGGGGCTTTACCTTGATCACGTACAAAGGACCTCATCGGGAGAATTGTGTCACTGAGGTACTATCCGATTGTCATGCACACTTGGATTCGTCTGTAATATCAGAGTACGTGAAGTCCTTTGTGAGGAAAGATCCGACGGTTAAAGTTGAATTCATCCAGGAACTGATATACAAGCAATTTCACTTCAATGTTCCGTACCATAGAGCATGGTACGCCAAGGAGAAAGCTGTAGCAGAGATATTTGGGGATTGGGAGAGTTCTTACGAGAGACTTCCACAATTCATGCAGGCACTCCAACGATCAAACCCGGGTACGTGTGTCGTGTGGAAATACAAAGCCTTGGTGGACGGTGTATACTACAGTAACTTGGAGGTGTTTGAACGAGTGTTCTGGGCATTCGGTCCTTGTATTGACGGTTTTAAACATTGCATGCCTGTGATCTGCATCGATGGGACGCACCTCTACGGGAAGTACAAGGGAACACTGTTGGTGGCTGCAAGTGTGGACGCAAGCTTTCAGGTATTTCCACTAGCATTCGCGGTGGTGGAAGGGGAAAACACTTCTAGTTGGTCTTGGTTTCTGGGTTGCATTCAGGTTCATGTCACGCAAAGAGATGGGTTGTGCATTATATCTGATCGACATCCAGGCATAATTGCAGCAATGAGTGATCCTAACGTTGGATTCACTGAGTCGCGAGCCTGTCATAGGTTTTGTGTTCGCCACATAGCGTCTAACTTGAGGACACACGTGCGAAGCAACGAGATGAGAGATGCGTTCAAGGGTGCGGCTTACCAAAGGCAAGAAAGAAAAATCCACACTGATTTGTGTTTCATCGGTCAGGAGTGTCCCAAGGCCATGGAGTACATTGTTCAAGTCCCTTTCAGTGCCTGGTCTCTCTTTCACGATGCAGGTCGCCGATTTGGGATATGTACTACTAACTTCTCTGAAACTTTTAACAATGTGCTTAAAGGAGCCCGGTTTCTACCGATCATGTCTCTTGTCGAGTTAACTTTCTACAGGGTTAACAAGTACTTCACGCTTAGAAGGGAGTCTTCTGAGACGAGGTATGAACTAGGACTTCCATACCCCCCCAAGGTCACTGCCATTCTTGAGAAGAACACTGCAACTGCAAGATATCACAGGGTCGAAGCATATAATCGCCGATTGCATATTTACCAGGTCACAACTGAAAGGG